CCCCATTCTTTTTCCTTCCTTATTTTTAAAAATTTCCTTCCTTATTTTTTCTGAACTCACACTCCTGTGTGGGGGGAAAAAGTTCATCAAAAAAGAAAGAGATCAGAAATAATAAATGAAGAAATTCCAGACAGATAGAGATGTATCTGCACAGAGACAAGATGTTACATACGAAACGAACGTAATAACAATAATAATATATTAAACTAAAAAAGGTGCTGATATTGGAAAACCTCACAGTATTGCTGTTGGCAGTTCCGCCATTTTAAATGCATAAATTATTCTCATCGGTAGAACGTGTAAAACTGAATAAAACGTCACTGAAAATAAATACATGTATACGTTATAATAAAATTATTATGGCAATTGAGTAAAAAAAAAAAATTGTAGGTAATATTATTGCACTTTTTCCACTGAGTGCTGAAACAAGAATTCCCTTAGCGGTCAGCTATGCCCTCAGCGATGACTATCTATTTAAATAACTAGAATTGCAGACTATATTTGAATAGATATTAAATTACGGACGGTCTTTTATAAGCTTATTTCGCAAGAACGAAAAGGAAAAAAAATTTGGAAAATTCTAATATGAATGGATGGCAAATGGCAAGTTATGTTTATAAATGTATGGGGATGATCTTGGCACACCGTTTAGTTTATTCGACGATGAAATATGCAAGTGGTTGTTATTATATTCGTAGATGTTAATAAGTAAATAAATATCTATTATTAGACTAGTTCAAAAAAGAAGTTAAATGATAATTCTAGAATATGAAGTTATATCTATTGGTAATGATTGTGTACTAATACCAGTTGTCTTTTCATGAAGCTACCATAAATGCAACTGATATAAATTGCTGCCTACAAAGTAACAATTCATACGTAGCCAACTTGATAATGATTAAGTAAAATATTGAGAAAACACGAATACATGCATATGTACATAAAATCCAATGGCATAGATTTATAAAGATAATGAAATCTATTTAAAAGGACATGATAAAGCACACTGACCAAAGTTTCATTGATTGAGCTGCGTCAGAAATAGTGGTTTAAAATTTAAAAATTGTCGTCAATTGCTCAAGACAAGTAAAGCCTGACGTACAAATACTAACACACACACATATATATATATATATACATATATATATATATATATATACATATATATATATATATATATATATATATATATGTATTTGTGTAATTCTACAAGAAGATAAGAAGAAACCTCAAGGAGAGGTCACGGGAATGCTTGCGAAGAGGCCTTAGAACATTGGAAACTTGTGTAAATAGGTAAGAAAATAGCACTGATTAAAAACGGGAATGAACTGAAAAGAGAGAAAAAGAAAACGAAAACGGTAAACATTGCATCTTTCTACAGTATAGTAGTAGTAAAGAGAAACCGGATAATGATATGAATATATGAGACTGGTGGGGCAAAGGACGAAGATATGAAGGCATTATGGCCGAGGACAGTATGGTAGGCTGACCCCTGCGCCATGTGGAATGACAAAGAGCGAAGGAACGAGAAGGCTTGAATAAGTCAACGACAAGGCGGAACGTTTGAATCAACAAGAGACATTAACAGTGGAAAATGCATAGAGGATGATTTGATGTGGTCTAAAAATAGTATGAGAGCAGATTCCCGCAAGTCACTGTGGAGATAAAATGGCTTTCAGTGAGAAGGTATGGCTTTCAGCAAGGAAATATGGCTTTCGGCTCGACAGATATAATTCACCCCCCCCCCCCCTTTTTTTTTCTCTCCCTTTTTTTCTATTTTTTTCCCGAGGCCACTATTTTCTAAACAAACACGATAAGATTTCCAGTTGTAATTGTTATTGCCATTTTTTTAACCAGAAAAATTCAAACCAAGAGTGTTCATGTCTCCAATATCTTTCATGACCTTCTCAGTTTTAAGACACATTATTAAGAACTGAACAAAGAAGGCAGGGATTAATCCCTCATACTATAATTTTGAAACAATCGCATAAAGCTGTCAGGGAAAGAACATGTGTACATTAAAAAAATAACGAATATTGTTGCTTCTTTGAACGTCGTTTCAGAGTGATAAAAGCCTACTGTACAGCAGAGATGTTTCTCAAAGTGCAACTTTAGGCCTAGCTGGCAATAGGGATATAAGCAAGAAAAAGGCTTCAGAAGTGCATGATGAATACATAACAATATATTATTATGAAAGTGCATTATAGAGAAGGGGGAAAATATAGATTGCTATGATACAGGTTCACAACACTATGAATGAAGGTTCAGTTTCAGGCACCCAGTGACGTCAGAGACGTCATGTGACAACAAAGCCCGCACAGCGCCCCCTGTGCGAGCGTGTCATTCAAATTTGCATAATTTGAGAAAGAAAAAAAGAAAACATAATAATCATGGTATGCGCAATTCCGTAAATTGTTGGGCAAGTTTACACAGCCGAATAAGTAAACGGCTGAAACAAAAGCACGTGACTAGGAGGAGGAACCATCCTTTCCTCCGTGCTTGCGCTTAATTTGCATCCGATATCTATAATTAGCATTTCTCCTAAAATAGAAACATTCGAGTCATCCATAGCACAGGTTTGCGTCTCGCTTCTACTAGGGAATGGCATTGATTTTACAATCTTATTATTTACTCCACTTCGCTGAGAGCAAATTATCCCCCCCCCCCCCAACCTCCTAGCGTAATCCTGCGACACGACGCAGGGGACACCACAAGATACTGTGCGTGGATGGATTGCCTCCCCCTGCTCATGGGAGCCAAATTTAGATCATGCTTTCGAATGATCGACGAAAGAGTGAGTAAATGATTGGAAATATCGATCTGGTCACGGCGCAGCATGGACCCCACCCCCGCCCCCTGCTTTTTTCCTCTTTAGTATCATTTTGCCACAAAAAGGACTTATCTTTCTCTACAAGGCTTTTTTTGTGTGCTTTGTTTAGACGAACCGAAGTTTTAACGCTATGTTTTAAAAAGCAGTTGTCACGTGATGTGGGTTCTTTCATTGATCGGTTTCTTTATGGCATTACTGAAGTGTCGTTTCTTTATCTCAAGTTCTCTTAGGTTCACGCGTGGGGACGAGGAGAAGGCGGAGCAGGGCAGGCTTCGATTAATCGGTGCGCTAGAACTATCGGAAACAAAAACTCAAATTATCGAGCTGCCGTCGTCAAGCAGGACACTGGAATGCCCCCACCCCTACCCCCAGAACAAACAAAAAAGCACCCCCCCCCCCTAAACCCCACACGCCCCAATCCTTTGTCAACTTTTTAAAAATAAAGAATCTCCCGTGGGCATATCCCAACGGAAGTCCTGCAATTCCCGATGCCCTTATGTCATATAAACTCTGTGGGTATCGATGACATTTAACCAAGCCCGACATTTCTTTTGGGTAAAATAAACCGGGGGAAAATCAATAGCAGGGTCACGCCTATATCGATGACTCAAGCGATCGTGACCTCACGTTTTCTTTGAGGGTTTGGCCTGACGTCATTTTTAAGGAAAGGGTTGGGTTTGAGTCGAAGAAGACATGGCTAGAAAGCTTTAAACAGCGAGCATTTACATGGTACCCTGTGTTACTATTTTAAGTACTTGGTTTGCAACCATAACTGCGTCACGGTGGGATTTATATAGTATGCACAAAGCTGTCCTAAAGCAGTGGTACAGACATCAATATAATTATTTAAGAAGAATAAAAGGCTATAATACATTTTGATATGTTTCGATATGGTGGAAAGTCAACAAGACTTAAGTACAAGACATAGAATAAGTACGGTTTGCAAATGTATAGGCAAGTGAGAACAAAAACCTTGCAGGAATGTTACAGCATCATTCTAAGCGGAAACATCAACAACAACAACGGTGCAAATGCAATGTTTATACATTGTATTTCGATGCATTATCAAACCTTGCTCACCCTCTCTGGCGTTGTTCTGTCACCATCGTTGCGTCCAGATGTAGGCTTGCATTGAACATAGTTTCTGACTTAGGTTTTCGAGTGTGTTCCTCATAGAAGGAACTAATTAATTGTTCTTTCTTATGTTCAATTGAGCCGTTTATCTTCAGAGCTTTTCACAGCTTTCGCCTCTTTTTTCTGGAAGCCGATTTAGGCACAATGTTCACAAGCGAATGGAACCTCTTTCAAAGTTTCTTGTTTTGTTAAATTTAGAAGTTGCTAGAGTCCATCGGGTCCTTGAGGCAAGCCGACTCTAAGTGCTTGTTGAGATAAGACTTCAGTGCGAAAGTCTTGTTACATTTCTTGCAGGCAAAGTGTTTGAAAGCCGAATGCGTCTGCATGTGAGCTCGGAGATTGGACCTGTCAGCAAAAGCTTTCCCGCAGTGAGCGCAGCCAAACGGCTTCTCTCCCGTGTGCGAGCGCATGTGGCCTTGAAGCAGCCACGGTCTGCTGAAGGTCTTACCACACACGTTACACGCGTGCTTGAGATCGTGTGTGAGAATGTGCATGGAGAGAGCGGGCATACTCACGTAGACCTTGTCGCAATGTGGACACTTCTTGGCGTTCTTGCTGTCCAGAGACCTGTGCGTCTGCTTGTGTCGGGACAGGTTTGATGACGTGGCGTAGTCTTTGCCGCACTCGTTACAGGTGTACCGCACTCGGCCTGTGGGCTTCTCCTCTCCCTCCAGCGCTCGTTTCCTGGATCGCCCGTCACTGATGAGAAACGCCTCGTACGTGTACGCGTTGACCTCAGAGTCAGAAGGGGAGGGAGGGGAGAGGGCGGAGGGGGAGGTGGGGATAGGGGAGGGTGCGGTTCGGGTGGATGATGGTGGGGAGGGAGGTGCTGGGAGGGAGGAGGAAGATAATGTTGACGAGGAGGAGATACCTGTCGGGAGTTTCGGGGATGTTGATGGAAGAGACGGACTGGGGGATGGTGGGAAGTGGGCGCTAGATGTGGGTGAGGATGGAGAGTACGGTGTGAGGGAAGATGTGTGTGAACTGAGAGGGAAACTTGATGCGTAGTGATGATGGTGATGATGCTGGTTCAAGGTGTCCGGGCTCGACGTTTCGATAAGATAATCGACCCTTGATTCCTCTGCCATCGTGTGGTAGTAGCTCAAGTGCTGTTCGTAATGGTGTTGCTCGACAGGGCTGTATCTGGGATCTTTGAAGTCGACGTCCATCTGGTGCTCTTCGTGGAGTGCGTCTTCGGCTCTGTGAGGACTGTCGCTGTCTCGTCTATAGTGCAGGCTTTCTGAGTCGAGAAGATCGCGAGGGCTACTACTACTACTGCTGCTGCTGTTGCTGCTGTTGCTTTGGGAGGTTTCTGAGGGAACGTGAAGCCTCTGGTTGATGAGCTGCTGGATGAGAGGATGATGGATGGGGTGGTCGGCTGGAAGCGCTTCAGCTCTGCTGTGGGCGGGGCGGGGAGTGTTTGAGTGGGCGGGAGCAGGGGCGTGGCTATGGTGAGAATGGGCGGGGACAGGTGTGTGGGCGGGGTTTGGTGTATGAGCTGGGGCAGGCGTGTGGGCTGGGCTGGGGGCTGTCAGGTGGGCTGCTGGGATGGGACTGGGCGTGGGCGTGTGTGCCGGGGGAGGAGACAACACCAACGCTATGGGAGCTTTGTCTCCGATGTGGGCGTTATAGGAGGACGAGGAGGAGGCAGAGGAGGAGGGGGAGTAAGGATTCGCAGAGTGGTGCCTTTGAGAGTCATACGGGAGGCTGGAGGAGGCTCGCTCGCTGGGAAGACTCGACAACATGGAGTAGGTGACCATGCTGTCGTTGTAGCTGGCGTTCCCAGCGCTGCTGTAGCCATCTTTGCTGCTAAGAGCATCCATGATACTGCTGCTGCAGCAGATGTCATTGTGGCTAGAGCAGGACAGCTCAGACAATTTGTCGGAGACTGCAGCCGCTGGCTGGGGGCTGCGATTGGCTGGGTGGTTGTTGTTAGTGACGATGACGCTACGACGTGGCTGGAGGTTTTCCACAGCGGCAGACTCGATGACATGCTTGGGTGTCATGGCGGCCACGCGGTCTCCCTCCAGACTTCCGCGGGCGGCGCTTGTGGGAGTGACGTCATAGATGTAGCCTATAATGAGAACACGAGGCATTTTTGGAGTCAGAAACTGCTGAAAAGGGGCAGGCACAATACCAGAATTAA